GTTGAAAGAGCAAAGCTGGTTAATTTCTGGTGACATTTTGTAGCCACGTAGATGCTGAAATACCTTTTTACACTCAGACTTGTTTATAAATCTGAATTCAGTGGCTGTCTCCCTAGCCACACAAGGCTGTAAGATGGGTGATGTTGCTGAAATGAGAGCCTGTTCCTTCCCAGGGACTCCTGAGTGGAGTTCATCCTGTTCTCAAGGGCCCGGTGAAAAGTACCCTATAATGGCTGTAACCATTGCAAACAGCTGGACCACTCTAAGTCTTCCTCAAATGTCTTCTACTCTCCCGGTGTACCATTGACCCACATCGACTGTGACTACGGCTCAACCAAATCCTTCAGTTTCAATGGCACAAGAAGTCTTTGTGTTACAGATAAATCAAGTTTTGCCTGGACTTTGGTATAAGATAGGAATCTCAAAATCACAGCCTTCCAGTAAATAGGAATTTCATTATAAAATAATATTTATGCCTTGAAGCAGGGACTGGTGCTCCCTGTTAATTATTAGATACCAAAACCGGGGAGGGGGGGGATGCTCAGAGCTGTTCAGAAATGTGCTTTTTAAAGTTAGCAAAAAAATAAACCTTAAAAGCTTGTAAAGGAGCCACAGGGAATCATAGCTGCCACTTAAATTATATTAAAGGGCAATAAATTGAAACCAGTAAAAAAGAAATGTGTCCTTACAGGGTGCATTGTCAGCTTATGAAATTCACTGTAGCGGGAGGTCAGTGAAAGAAAGTCCAGAGTTTGTTTTTTCCCAAAGCACTTTTTGGATCGCTACCATGATGCTTCCAGTGCTGAGAGAAAAGGCTAATCAAACTTCATACTCCAAGGCACAAACTGTCTGTGAGGGTCAGGAGAGAACATCACCCTCAGAGACAGTGTATTAAGCATATTCTGCATTTTCCCTCTCGACCTTTGAAGGCGGTTAAGGATCTCTGCAGAATTGTTATACAACCTCCAAAGGCAAATTCTGCAAAATGCCTCTGGGTTCCTTGCTCCTGGAGAGGGATTCTCCTCTGGCAAATTTCAACACCTCTAAAAGCATCATTTTAGCTCTGAAAAATTTATTTAAACATTAGCATTGACGAATTATGCGACATCAGGGTGCAGCAGCACTCTTGAGTCTCAAAGACAGTCGTGGGGGAAGCTGAAACAGACACAATTTATTGGCAGATAAGAGAGGCAACCTCCCATCCATACCATTGTACAACATCCCAGGTGGAAGACAAAGATAGACTCATCTGTGCATGATCCCCAGCTTTGAGAATCATGGGAAGGGAAACATCATCCTACCAGTTTTCTCTGAGGAGTAGAACTAAATCTCACAGAAGGCCTTACATGGCTATTCATAAGTCCCTCAAGCACAGCTTAAATAAAATTATGCTGATTAATCAAGCAGCATCCCCTGCTGCAGCATCCAGGCAAGACCATCTCCTTTCACTCTTGCTGAAGCAAGACTATCCCCTTTGAGTCTTGCTGCTATTGTTGTAATCAGGTGAAAAATTGGAACTCTTGTACCTGCTGCGCCTTTCCGCTACCACGGCCACCTCTGTTTTTCTTTCCGAGTTCCACTGATGCAAGGGTAATAATTGGTCCATGATGTTTAAAAGGAGCCGGTGGGTTCTACATCTGCTTCTCCGAGTTAAGACATGGCTATCTCATGCCCAATAAATTTTGGGTATTTCACATGCATTCATGAAGTCAAACAGGCTCTCAAGCCCCAGGTCTTGCCTCCCACATGGGTGGATGAGCTCATGTGGCATGAGGTGTGGTCAGATACTTGAACGTGATTCATGTCTGGTCCTCTTACATCATTCAGAAAATAAAGTTTTCCACTGTGAGAAAGCTGAGTAGCAGAGCAATTTTGAGTACCAGCCCTGTAAATGTTCACACATGCATCTGCTGAATTCACTGCCAGGTCTGTATGGGCTTTAAGATAAGGGTCTTTGCTTCTTTGTCTCTACTGTCTAAGCAGCAGCTCTATTTTAGCTATCAAACTGTTGAGACATACCTGTGACTTTACAGGTTGCTAATTTCTGAAGATTTCTCTCCCATTCATTCTGTATCATTTGGATTTTTCATACGTTTGTAACACATATGAGGGAAAACTAGAATTCCTTTGTTCTCCCTTTCATCTCTATGCTGAAAGGCCATGCTTCCCAGACCAACTACCCTGAGCTCAGCTTTAACAGCAGGTAAGAGGTGGTCATCTCCCTGCCAGAGCTTGCTTTAGAATGAAATGAATTCCAGCATTGGAAATTAAGAAGATTTTGTTATTAGCTCTCATATTAATAATTTAGAAAATACTGCCAAATCACCCACCGCATTCTCTCAGATCTTTCTGAATACTGCTGCAAATTGCATAAGGTGTTAGAGTGAATGGATATATTTCAGGTGAAATATTTGTACTGAATTATTAGAGTAGTCTGTATTACAAAATTACTAATAAACATTGTTTCTGGCTCAATTTAGCCTGAACTCAGTGAACCTAACCAGTGGTGAGAAATCAAAAACTCTGAAATACCTGATGAATGAATCTAACTAATCAAGAAGCCCTGCAGGAAGTAGATGCCAGGATTAATGAGCCAGTGGTTTCACCATGCCATGCTGTTATTTCTTCACATAAATGCCCTCAGATGAGATTACCTTTGTCATGAAAAGGAGAAAAGGAAGGTTACATACTTTCAACTGACAGGTTAACTGCCATACCTCCATTACTGCAAGATACATTTTCATGTGCAGAGATTTTTATTCTGAAAAATGAAAATTTAAATACCACAACACAAATTAAACCATATTTTCACTTCTAAGAGCAGGGATCATTACTGCTAGTATAATAATATAATCCGTGCTGCAATGTTACCTGATCCCTCGCCTTGCACAAACTTTTTCTCTTATTAGTAATTGCTCAGTGATTGCAATCTCCAACGGTGGGTAAGAGCAGATTCTGCCTTCCATGGGGATTTGAGCAGAGGAAGAGAGGAGAGAGAGAGTGTCAAAGCATTTCATCAAGAGAGCAAATGAAAGGTTCAGTGACATTATCTTTATGTATATTCCTTAGACATTAGGGGTGATGTTGTGTTTAGAGGAAAGCAAAATTACATGAATATGTGCCTACGTGGAAATGAATCAATACATAAGAACATAAATCTCAGTCTACTTGCACACTGCGTAGAACAACTTAAGGCTAAAATGCACCTTAACATAAGCAAATAAGCCCAGCTGGTAACAGCCCCAGTGCCTAGTGTTACCTACTTAGTCAGTAATAGGCTAATTGTTATTCAGCATAACTATTCCTTCTCAATTTGTATGGAATTCACTCATTTATTTTGATCACTTTACGTGAATGAAGCAAAGCTGTTCATGTTGTGAGACAGAACTGGTTCGTGCTGTTTAATTTTTAGCTTTTAACATCAGCAAAATTGAGACTTTGTAGTAAAATAATCCAGACAAAGCATGTAGCACATGTGAGCGAAGCCTGTGGTCTTCCTTCCACCCATGTTAAACACATAAGAGCATCAGCTTAGATGTTTTATGCTGCAAAGCTTCAGCGGATGCTAAGGGTACATATAATTTCAAAAATCTCCAGGACTCAGAACACAAGGATCTATTACTATGGAAACAAATCAAATTTGTATCAAAGTTGTGTAGGATCAAAAAGCTTTGCTCATAACCAGGACTACAGTTGCATAGAATATGGAAGAAATGATGGATGTTCTAAGAGCAAGCATTAAGATGAAGGACCTTTGTAAGGCCCCTTTCACAGAGCTGCAATGTTCAGTGTCAGGAGTTGGATCTCACAGGTTGTGTCTCAATCCCCTGCCCCCAGCCATTTTTCTCCACTGTTAAAAAGCACATCTTCTTTTAAGATCTTCCATATCACACTTTACGACATTCCTACATCATAAAGCTGTCTTGCTTATAGCAATATAAAGCAGCTGTAAAAATTATGTGCTTGTAAACAACCTTCCATACATTTGGAAGAAGCATAGTGAGATTTGCACTCTTCTGCGTGTAAGTGGAGACCTTTCACCCTTTTGGCAGGCCACACTATGGGGAAGAGAACACAGGGGAACTGGGAAGACCGAGGGACATCCCAGCTGGCTGCTACTCCCTTTGGCCCATGGAGGGTCACCCACTGGATGGGGAAGCTGGAGGGACTCTCACCAGCTCTGCTCCGTAAGCAGCCTGTGTGCACATGTCTTTGATGGCTGAATTAAACTGATCACAGACTTCAACCTCGGAGCTAAGCCTGGGTGCAGAGGAGCAGCTGCTCTGCCCAAGGCTGGGCTAGGGACTAGAGGCAGGGCTGGAAGGAGAGACAGGACATGGTGACTTCTTTTCCCTCTACTGTGGTATGGATTGTGGTATGGGACCTGTCTTGCCTATCCTAGACTACCTCAGGTGGAGCATCCTGGGCTGTTACAGCACCTGCAGCAGCAGACTCCTGCAGGAGGGTGTAGGGCTCTTTCCTCAGGTGACTCCCAGAGGACTCACTTGTGGTCTGGATCACCAATAATTTATTCTGCTTTTATTTCTCTTTTAAATTAAATATGCATATGTAATATGCACTTTGGAGCGGGCAAGGACCCTTCTGCGGGTGCCTATGGAGTCGTGCACTCTCAGGTGTGTAATTAAGAGGTGTGTAATTGATGTACAAGGAGAAGAGATCTTAGTGTATTGCATAAAAGGCAAGGGTGAGGGGGGAAGAAGGAAAAAAGCCCAAACCTGGCTATATGATGCTTGGCAATGTACTGCGTTTCTTTTTCCCCCCATATCAAAGTTTGCGTGGGAGTAAAGCTAGAGTTCTCTCTTCCATGGGACTTGCTTTGCCAGCAGCTATGCCCTCATTTCACATTCCAAAAAAGCTGATCATCTCTCCACTGCCTGCCTGCCCCGGCCTCCTGGTGACCCACTCTCCTTCATCCCTTGCCCTGCCCTGCTTCGCCACACAACTTTTTGTAACTCTCAGTTTAAAGGCCAACCACGCAGAAAGATTAACAAAAGTTTATTAATCATGAAGTATTAAAATTGTGACAAGTGAAAGGCATCAATGCAAAGTTAAGCAAGCAAACTATCCCCAAACTTGTGACAAAGGACTCAGTGAATACCACAGAAGGAAGTCCTGTCTATTTTGTTTTTTTTGCCTGCAGTTGAAGACACCTCTCATATCTCACACGCCACATCAAAATCTATAATTCTTCATATCACATACTGAAAATGATTTTATTTATCCATTCACATTAACTTGATATAAACGTGTCCGGAAAAGTCAAGTAATATGTTTTATATTAGCTCAAACATTTATTAAGTAACCCAAAATTCAATAAATAAGCACAGACAATAAGTTAAAACATATCACGAATCGACCAGTATGTAACAAGAATGCTTTATCTACACAAAACATCCTATTTCACATCGTTTGTTCATTCCTCCAGCGGCCCTGCCCTGCGGCGGGGTGACCGGCACATGCAGGCGGGCGGGCCGCGGGGCCGAGCCGGGCCGGGCCGAGCCTGGCCAGGCGGGGCGGGGGGCGCGGCGGCGCCTCCGCCGGCGCTGCGGAGGGACAATAGCAGCAGGAACGTAAATAAATGCGTAAATAAAGGTAGGGAGGATCGGCAACTCAACTGTCACGAAATCAAAGATCCGAAAAAGGGAAGCGCTCTTGCGCGCTTTTTTCTTCTCCCTTTTATCCCCTTTGTTTTTTACAAAAAGAAGCTTTTGATTTTTTTTTTTTTCTTTTTTACCCCATCACATTCGCTGTCGCTCATTAATGCTTAATCAAAACGGATTTGATTCTCTCTGGGGTCTCCGTACTTTTCGCGAACCCGCCCGGCCGTCCCCCGACGGCAGTCTCGCAGCGGAAGGAACCGGCGGCGGGTCGCCGCTCCTAAATAAACCATAAAAATCATTAAAACAGAAACAAAAATGCATTTCTTTGCAAAGCCAAAGCCGGACGGGCGGACGGCGGGAGAGCCGGGTCGTGGCGACGGAAGGAGGCAGAGCCGGGCTCGGCGCGGCCGCGAGTCCCCCCGCCGCCGGGCGGGGCGGACATCGGGGCACAGGGGTGCGCGGGTGATGCGCGGGGGAAGAGGGGGCTGTGGGGAGGGTCGGGGGTGTTTCTCGGCCCACAAACCAGTCTGTTGTTGTCTGATTTCAGATCCTGAGTCGACTCCCTGGTAAGTCGGGTGGGGGAAGGCGGGGGCGCGGGGCGAGGCGGGGGCGCGGGGCGAGGCGGCGGCGGCGGGGGCGGCGCGGGAGAGGCGCCGGCCATTAGGTGAAACTCATGGAGACTGTGTGCTCTAGTGCTTTGCGGCGGAGGGAGGCGATGCTGGTTCCCCGCCACACGTCGCTGCTGTCCGGGGAGCTGCAGAGCTGGGGAGAGCCCGTCACGTTGCTGGGGCCGGGCAGGGAGGCGGGCACCATGCCGGGGAAGGCGGGCTGGTAGAGGTGGGACTGCAGCCCGGCGCCGTTGGAGCCCGCCAGGCTGTTGGAGAGGCCCATGGAGTTGGGCGGCGGGCCGGCCGCCAGGCTGCACTGGGACAGGGACTGCGCCATGGCTTGCTGCCGTCCCAGCGCCGGCGGCAGCGGCAGCTGCGACACGCCGGGCATGGCGGCGGCGGCCCAGCGCGTGTCGTTGGCGTGGAAGGAGCACAGGCTGTCCCCCATGGCGGCGGCGGCGGCGGCGGCGGCCGAGGGGAACTGCGGCAGCCCCGGCGTCGGCAGCAGCGTGCCCGGGGCGCGGAACACGTTCGTGGTCTTCTTGCGCTTCTTCCACTTGGCGCGGCGGTTCTGGAACCAGACCTGCGGGCGGCGGGCAGCGACACGCTCCGTTAGCCACCACCACCTCCCCCCGCAGCACCGGGGCCCCCGCCGGGACCCCCGCCCCGGCTCCCGCCGCCCCCGCCAGCCTCGCCCCCACCGACCGCGGCAGCTCTTCACACCCGCAGCCCCACGCGCGTCCCCATCACAGGTTGACGAAACCGCTGGAACTTTTTATAACGAAAGCGATCAATTTGTTCGTCCTGGGCGGGAGACTCCAGGAGAGGAGCCTGGCCTTCCCACAGGAAAAAAAAAAAAAAAAAAAAAAATTAAAAAAAAAAAAACCAACAACCACAAAAAAAAAAAAAGCCCCACCCAAGCAGCCTACGGCTCTGGCCCTTGCGTGGACACGCTCCCGCCGAGCCCTGCCCCGGGCCAGCCGCCTCGCCCCATGCCACCCGGGCCCGGCCAGGAAACCCTCGCACCAAACCGCCCGCATTTGGGTTTAAAAAAAACCCCAAAACATAACGAAATAAAACCTATAATAACAAAACCAGAGGTGGTTTAGGTGAGTGCCTGCTTGTGGTGGCACTGTGGCAGGGGTGGCTCGGTGGGTCTCTCCGCACCGCGGCCGAAAGCAACATGAGACAGTCGTAAGGTGGGAGAAAGCGCGTCCACCTAAAATCCGAGGGAACGCAGTGCCCCATCCTGCCGAATTCCACCCTCTCAGGCTCCATAAGCAGACTGAGAAAGGCGGACGCCAATTAGCGGGAATGAACGGCCGTGAGGGAGCTAAATATTATATGAATAATCGAAAAATCGCGTTCAATTATGTTTTAGGACTAATAGTCAAATTGTGGCTACAAAATCTTTTTATGTTTCATGGTTTGCTGGTGGTGTAAAGAATCTCCATCAGGTCTGATCGCCTAAGTTCATAACTGCGCTGCATATGCTTTTAAAATGTGAATGTTTCCAGTTGAAAACTGGTGCATGACAGATTAAAATGCAAGGAAAACCTGGGGGAGATTTTGAAAATGCACACATGACAACTCTAGAAATATATTAACCATGAGCATTTGGCAACTTTGAACTCCTTTGAAAATGCAACTAGCCCCTGAAAATTATTAATACAACAGTGAGAATCTAATGGAGGTTGGAATCTAAAAACCTACCTTGATGATATCTGCTGTTACAGTAATATAGACATACTGTAAATGTATTTTAAAATATATAGCCCATTTAATTCCCCAGCTATAAACGGGTGAGAGAGTGAAAGAGAGAAAGGGAGACAATATCACTTTTGGTTTTCTTCTCTTTTTTTAAATGTTCTTTTTATTTCTTTTTTTTTTTTTATCTTTTTTATTTCTTTTTTTTTTTTTTTTTTTCTTTTAAGAAGCCGAAGCTTTATGAAGATCTCATTGGAATCCAGCAGATGATTAATGTGAAGATTTGGTAGGAAATCTGGAGAGCTGTATTAAAGCTCAGATCTCAGGTTCATTTCGATCAGCCAGCCGTGAACTCTGGGCCGAATTCATTACACTTTAATAGTGCTGGGAGAGGAAGAAAATGCAATTTCTCATTCCATTAGAAAACTAGAAAATACTCTCAGCTTGTCCCCTATTAAGATGTGGCAGGTGACGGGACCATTGTGGGGGACACGGTCAATGGAATTACAGCACATTATTTTTGTTCATATAAAATATTGGAAGGCAAGCCTGACTGTGCAGAAGTTATTTCACTGATTTAGTTTTTATGTAAATAAAATATTGAAAGTTAATTAATCCGTGCTAGAGACTAATGATTATGCTTATTATATTGCATTTGATCGCGTAATTTGCATGATTCTCGCATTGCTGCTTAATAAGCCATTCCAGGTTATAAATAATTCTGAAATTGGTTTCTAATAATGGCATGCTATAAAAAGAATGGTTTTATTACAGCAGCTTGAAAAGCAGAGCAATATCAGATGTGGAATTGGACTCCCGTTTAAGCATCAGCCAGTTTAATAATTATTTAAATGTATCATATACATTAAATACAGATCTAAAATGAGGAAAGTGGTGATTTATCCTAGCATCAAAAACCCTTAAAAACAGATACAGCCACTATAAATTAAGCATTTGGAGCATTCCTTAATCAGTGTGGAGCCCATGTACTGAAAGTAATGTGTGGGCTATCTGTTAACTACAAAGAAAACTGTAAAAACTGTTCTTTCTCATATAAGAACATAAACTAATTATTGTTTAATTTAAATTTGATCAAGGACCAGTGATACATCGGATTGTGAAGTAAATATATTAAATACTTTTTTGCCTTAGATCACATAATGTTAATCATTTTGAAGTGTTAATTAAGAAGGTTATGTTGATCTGATTACTTCTTAAATTACAGAACATTATTGTAAAAAAAATTAAATTGACACTCTATTAAACTGTTTTTATCAGCAGTCTCGAGCTATTAGCATTGGTTTAAGATTATGCCAAGGCCATTAAAACACTTTGTCTTTCTTTCTACGAATTTCTTTGATGTGCTGTTAGAAAATAACTATTTCAATTTTATATTTTACTTCATTTGCCACACTCCTAATATTGAAATTGGTATCATTAACCTTTGGGAAACCCAATAAAGTTTAATAGACCTCGTTTTCTTTTTTTCATAGAGTCAGTTGTCCAATTATATTTTATTTGTGAATCTAATTTCTTTTTTAATTTAAACTAATTATAGTTCTGTGTAGGCTGAATCAAATTGTTTTACTTTTTAAAAGCAGACGCGCTTTTTCTGTCACATTCAAGAACGGAATCTGTTTTCCTTCATAAAACGTTCATTTAGGGATTTCTCTTCACGTGTCTTTATTTATCTGAGGAGCCTGTGCTTGCCGATAGGGATTTTGAACAATGACTGCGCTGAAGTGCTTCAGCAGCGGCAGTCCCGGTGCACTGTACTGAGCCGGGATGCGCATCCCACAAGTGCTTCTATTATGCAGGCTTTCATTCTTTGGAATGGACTCGCCTGGAAAGTCGCTAAAATAATCTTATGTGCAAAAAAGCAGCGTCTGAGCAGTATAGCGCTTTGAACCTTCTCCCCCTTTACCAAATTTCGTTTACATTTATTTGCCTAAATAGTTTCCTCCTGCCCTGTGTGCATATATGTCTATGTACGTATGTATATATATATATATATATATATATATATATATATATATATATGTATTTTAGAGGACAAAGTGCACCCTAAATGTTGAAGTCACCCACTAACCCCACCGTTCCCAGGCATTATAAAAGCCAGTATGGGGAAAGTCCGAGTCCAAACACAACTGGCTTTTATCGAAGTGCCTTTTCCCGAGCCGTTATGCCTTCCCTCGCACCCCACCTCGGCTCTCAGGGCGGTGGGCTTTGGCAGATGCCCCTTCCCGGCGGTGCCGCGGCCGTGTCGCCATCAGCACCCTGGACAGTGGCCCTGCCGTCGGCTACCTGGACAGCGGCCCCGCGGTCGCCACCGGCTTCCGCTCCCGAGGAAAAAGTCATTCCCGGCAGGTTCGGCTCTTAGCGCCAGGCTATTGCGAGAACTGAGATGGTTCTTCTCGGGCTGTCCCTCCCCGGACTCCTTCCAGCCGCGGGTCGGGCCGTGGAGCTGAGGGAAGCTCAGCCTATGCCCCGCTCGGGAACACCGCGCTGCAGGTGGGTAGGATAGAAGAAAAGGGGGCACCCCAAGGTGACATTTTCGCGGAAAGGGGAGCGACGCATGTCTGATTTCAAGGCTTTCTGACCAAACTGTTGCTTTCAGAGGTGCGTTATTTACCCCGCCGTCGGGCTGAGGTTTGGGGCACCCACCCCCCTCCCCGTTGTGCCTGACCTCGCCGCCGCCCGGCCGCGCAGCCGTCCGTGCGACTGTGGAAGGGCCGGCAAGCACTGCGCGGGGGCGGTTTTTCATACCTGCACCCGGGACTCGGTGAGACCGATGCGCAGGGCCAGCTCCTCCCGCATGAAGATGTCCGGGTAGTGAGTCTTGGCGAAGCTCCTCTCCAGCTCGTTGAGCTGAGCTGGCGTGAAGCGAGTGCGGTGCCGCTTCTGCTTCTGCTGACCCTGCTGCTGCCCGGCCTGGCTGGAGTTCTGGCCGCCCTGCTGGCCTTGCTGCTTGTCAGGGTCTTTGGCGCTAACGGCTAGGGAGCTGGGGTTGGATCCCACCGTGGTGATGTCCTCCCCCGGCAGCAGGGTGGTCCCTTCCACCGTGTCCGAGTTGGGAGCCATGTCTCCCGGGTGTCCCCCCGGATCCGAGCCCCCGACGCCCAGCCGACACTTGACCGCCTCCCGGTGTCCCAGCAGCTCGGCGGCGTCTTTCATCCCTGCGGAAGCAAAGGAGCGGCAGTCACTCGGCTGCAGCTGAGCATAGATCCATCCACCAGAGCCTCTCTCCAGTGCACTGAACTGGAGAGAGACATCCAACCACTGCCACCGCCTCCGCCCCGCCGTCCCCCGGCCGGCCGCCCGCCAGACCCGCAGCCCTGCTCGGTTCCACGACACGGAGAGACACGGGCCCGGGCGACCCGGGCACAGGGGTGAAAACTTTACATCGAGCAGCTCCTCTTCCTGCTGAAATAACCAGTTCCCTGCCCGGCCTTCCCTTGCAAGACCAAGGGAAGGGAAGAGGAGGAGAGCAAGTTTTCACGGGTTCAACTTGGATTTTCCAGCGGAGCTGGTAAGAGAAAGAGACGGAGAGAAAGAAATAAGGCTCGAACCGCTCTGTTGCCGGGAGCGCTACCTCCACGACAGATGCGCGGGGACTTCGGTCAGTCTGGCCGATCTTTCCCCTCTCCTCCCTCCGCTTCTCTAAACAAACTCATGAATAACCATAAATAGATATAAATAGATAGATACAGATATTTCTCTCTTTTTATTTTCTTTTTTTTTTTTTTTCCTTTTTTTTTTTTTTTTTTTTTAAGGAAAGGGAAGGAGAAAAGCAAACGGACGAGCAAGAAAAGGCCACACAGAACTCCGTAAACACCATCGAGCTCATCTGTCCTAAAATAATAATCATCATAATAATAATAATGTGTAGGTATGTATATAAAAACTGGGGAGAGAAAAATTAAATGATCCACAACTCGCTGTACATCTACATATACCGTAGGTCTCACTCTCTTCTTTTTTTATGTTAAATCAAATTAAACTTTAATACAGTACAATTACTTTTAAAGGAATTAGCCCATTTAGAACGCATTAAGGTAAAATAAGGAACAAATTGTCAATTTCCTGCCCCGGCTTCCTCCCCGCTCACCGCCGCAGCCGGTGCAGCCGCCGTAGGGCGGGGGGGTGCCGGGTGAAACTCACCGAGACGGGCGTCCAGGAGGTCGGCGTGAGACAGCATCGCGCACCGCTCCAGGGCGAAGGCTGTTCCCCCCCAAATTTTAGCGGCCTTAAGTTATTTAAAATAGATATAAGATATGAGATATATATATATATATAGATATATATATATATAGATCGTCTAAATGAAAGAAAATTCGGTGTGTGGTTAAAAAGGGGGTCTCTTGCATTATAATGTCCTTTAGAGAGACGGGGAGGTGCTTAACACTTCAATGAACCCGTGAGCAGCTCGGCGCGGGGACCAATCAGGAGGGCAGCCTGCAAATGTCAGCGCCCGGAGCGCCCCGCTCCGCCCGCCCGCCGCCCGCCCGCTGCCGCCGCCCAGGCCTCCCGCCGCCCCGGCCCGGCCCGGCCCGCGCCGTGCCCGCGCTCCCGTACCCTGCTCCGCTCGCCTTGGCCGCCCGCCTTCTCCTCCTCTCCTTCTCTTCCAAGTGCACATTTGCCACACTCCGCTCCGGGTCGCCCCTGATGTATCGGCTTTTATTGTTTTTAATGCCTCCTCGGAGCGCACCCTCTCACCGATCAGTCTCCCGGGGGTCCCGCAAGCTCAGAGCCCACCAAGGGCTGCGAGCGGGGCAGGCGGGCGGCGCGGGGTCGGGCAGCGCCAGCCTCGCTGGCCGGCGGCCCCGGGGAACCGGGAGCGGGAGCGGCAGGGGAGGCTGAAGCCAGGCTTTCACCCACACAAGCCCCGACGGCTGCTGGGCGTCGAGGAAAGAGAAACTTGCCCGAGTTCCCGCAGCGGGCCGTGCTGCACAGGCTGCCTGGCCCCCGAGGCTGCCCGCCACCTCGGCCCGGCCCCGCTCGGTGCCGAGGCAGAGCGCAATGAGGGGAAAGGGAGCCCAGCACCACGCGTCCCGGCCGCCCGGGGAGCTCTGCCTCCCCCCCCCCCGCCCAGGATTTTAACGCCCTTAAGCCCTATTTTTCGGGTAAAGTTTCCAAGTTCGGCTAGCCTACAAACTGAACTTAAAGCAGTAAATAAAGTTAAATGCTTTTTATTTTCCTCTTGAATATATTAAACTACTTGAACAATTTAAAGTGCTTTGCAGAAGTGAAGCGAACCATTTCTAATGTTCTGATTTTTCAAAGCCAGCCAACAACAAAGTTTAGATTAGTAATATATTTCTAACCAGAGTAATTTTCAAGATCATTAGGCATTTATGTAATTAGTGCCAAATCTATAAGCTTTTATTACGATTATTAGAGTAAAATCAGTATAAATTTGTACTAATTTACTACTGTTTAGACTTGGCTGTCAAGCCAAGAGGTTCTTATTGTAAATGATAACTGAGGAAATTAAGTGCAAAATTCTGTACCATTTCTGATCCGCTCCTAAACAATCCGTTTCAATTGTATTTGTAGCAGAACATAATGCCCTTTTAAAGTTATTTGACTTGTATTTTTATTTGCAAAACAAGAAAAATACCCTCTACGCGGGCACAATGAAAACTGATATTTACTACTTCCAACTTGATTAACATTGATTTTTAATTCAAAAGTGATGCAATTAAGATTATTCATTTAGTGCAAATAAAGCTTCCACCAAAAAGCGAGCCCAGTGAAGTCTATGTTAAATAAAACGGAGCCAATGGCGGGTTTTTTTTCCGCCATCCAATTGACTTACACGAAACACTGTAAATACTGCATGCGAACAGATGCAAGAGTGGTTTTGTTTGCAGCTCAGATGTGCAGTGGTTTCGGCAGAGACTGAAGGAGACAAAGGAACCGGCCGACCGATCTCTAGGGCAGTTTTGCTGCCTTTTTTTTTCCCTCCTCCCAGGCTACATTGATTCAATTCAGCTTTCGAGACCTCGGGCTGTTGCAAAGAACCTGGGTGCTTGGGAACGGCCGCTCAGAGCAGGGAGAGAGACCCAGAGCCGGGCCACAGTTTAGCCGGAGACAGAGAGAGAAAGAAATGAGATGGAGGTGGGGTGGGAGTTTCGGGATTATTATTTTTCCCCGGCTGGATGGGTGACTGCGGAGATAGCATATTTGCTGTGATTTTTTCCTTTGAAAATTATTCTCTGCGTGCAGCTGTAGGGCAGGAGGGGAAGACCCGGCGGTGGGAACTGCTGGGAGGAGTCCCCCGGCCCGCTGCCGGGCGTCGGGACCCGCGGAGCGGAGCCGGCGGAGTCGCTGGGGAGACGGGCCGGCGGCGCGCAGCCTTTCGTGGCCGCGGGAGTCTGGCCCTGCCCGGGCCGGGGTGAGGCGAGCGGCCAGGGCTGGCCGGGGCGTCAGGGGTTCAGTTTTGGCTGTATGTACCGGCACAAGTGTGCGGGTGCTCCAGGTGCCTGCAGCCGGCTGCTGCCGAGCGCGCCGTGGGCAGGGTGGCAAGGCGTGCGTCTGCATCTATTCCGTGTTGTTGTATGTTTCAGATCGATAAATAAATGTGTAATAGTTAATGTGCAGACACATCAGAGTAATAACAATGGGATGAAATCAAAGGATTATCAATCTCTGTTAGTAACTGCTGAATAACAATGGTGCGGTGTGATTGATAGCGCGCTTCATTTTATGACTTTTCTATTGCTCTTGATTTTTATAGCAGTATAAACAAACTAAATCATTTCTTCCAAGACTTCAGATCGCAATTGTCTTAAGGGAAGGAGGGAAATCAGAGAAGGAAGTCTGTGGGAGAGAAAAGAGCGAACTGGGCTGACACTAACGCGTGTCAGAAAGAAAATTACAATGGGGCACATGTAAAATACCCTAATCACATTCCGCTTTCGCGCACTCCTGTTTTGTCAAGTGCCCGAATTCACCTGGGCAGCGTCGGAGATGTATTTACAAGGATTTTATTCCCCGTCATCTTTCCATTTTCCCAGTGTAGCCAGAAAACTGCCAGTCAACTCCATTCCCTGTTACAATTTACGGTATTCCCCACATGATCATAGGAACTGAAGTTCCTAACAAGGAAAGGCTTTAGCACAATGGCCAAAAATCTTCAGAGTGACACGAGTGTCTTCAGAAATCACTTCAGAGCAAAGTAAAAGGATTTTCTATGACGGATCCAGTGATTTTTCCTCAATAAATAGGTTTTAGATTGTTACACACACGTAGAACTGGAACAAAGGGCAGTACCAGAAAATATATTGGTTGCCCCTAATAAAATTTATTTAGACAGTTTATTTCTCATAAAAAATAGAGATTGAATTTCGTACAGAAGCGCCTGCCAAGAGGCCAGGCACTGAGAGATCATCTCCCCCCGCACCTGCCTTTGCCTTTCTTTCCTTTTCCATCCCATCCCTTCCTTTCCCTGCCCTGCCCGGCGGCGCCCGGCGGGCCCGATCCCGGGGTCCCGGCCGGAGCTGGCTCTGCCCTCCCCTGCACGCCCCCCGCCCCCGCCAGCCGATCTGCCCGAGCGAGGCCGCGGGAGCGGGGCGTGCCGCGTCTGGGAGTAATATAACCCTAATTCTCCAGCGCTGTGACCCCGGTAAGAAAGGGTAGAGAACTTTCCAAACCCCAGAGCTTCCCCTCTCCCCTTCCCGCTAAACTCAAGCCCTGATTGAATGAGGCTGTAATATAAACAAGTGTATTTAACCAATTCTGCTCTGATTTAGAAACAGAACCTTCTTTTATCAGAATAATTATATTTGGACCGAGAAACACAGTAAAATAAGGTTAAACTGCTAAAGTCAGCAGGGTGGCCCAGCATAAATGGCTGATAAGATTTGTAATTTGATATTTTATTTATGTATTTCTTGAGCATCCATCCAGTTAAACCGGCTGCTGTATGCAGAGCACCGTAATTGGTTTTTACACGTAGCAACGCTCACAGCATTTACCAAATGCAACTTTTGGTTGCTGGCTTGTTCGCGCGGCTTTTTTTTTTTCTTTTTTTTTTTTTTTCTTTTTATTTCTAGACAGTAGTGCTGAAATATCGGATATTATTATTCACATTCCCGCTGTTCAGTGCTGCATTGTAACATTGTTCGCTTTAATGAGAAGCGCCTCCCTCAATAATTAACGACCTCCCATTTCCCTATTTTCTTGCCTGATGAAAAGAATCAATTTTAATTCATTGTAAATTACAGCTATGCTTTTGAGTGTTATTTGCTTACTTTTCCACATCGACATTTCCTAAACACAAATGACAAATCAAACTATATACTTTCGTTAGGGGTAATTTGGAGTTAAGAAATGGAAAAGCATAAACACGTGTTTTCATTTCAATCAACCCTCTCGAAAATATGACTTCTTTGGAAACGAAGGACAAGGCTGCCAGCAGCTACAGATCCCAATTTATACATTCTAGTCAGAGCTAAACGTGACGATCATCGCCGCTTTACGACACTAGGCTGCATGTAGCATTTTGTCGCCGCTATAAATACACTTCTTTGAAAGCAACTTTGTGAAGTTTAAAGGCATCCGAGGCAAGAACGCTCGCAGCTGATCAGAAATGAAGCCGTCAGGTGTCTTGAAAACAGCCTCCCTAAGGTCGGCGGGGAGAGCTCGGACCACCTGACACCTCTCCTCAAACACTGTTAAGTACAGCATTTTCCCATTTTCTTATTCATGTAAATATCTGCATCCGGCTACAGAGGAGCCAAAGGCAGCGCCTGCGACTGAATCCTCGCGGGCAAGCTGCAGGCAATCTCTCGACAGTGAAGCGGTTCCTTTAGATTGAAAGGATGGCTTCTATCAATTAATTTTAATCAGAGCGATGACAACCAGTCTTTTATGGGGAAAAAGCTATTTTAATATAAAGGAATGCCTGATGCCCCTGCCCGCTCTCACCCGACCAGATGCAAACTCTTTACACACAAAAGTCACCTCCCCCTCTCCATCCAGCTTCGTAACGCATGCATGCATTAAGTATGCATAAGCTTTTCACATAATATTAAGTTCATAAACTTAAAAATGCGCAGCCGAAGCGTAACGCGCTGTGCTGTAGCTTTTGCAGTCGGACAGGAATTATATGGGCTGCCCCGAAAGGCGAAGGGAGCGCAGGTATAAATAATTTTTCACATACATCTCAGTTTAGCCAAACAGTACACTTCCGGGGAGACTTACTACTGAACCTTGAGGAATTTTTTTAAACACATACCTGTATTTTTAAAATCCCCATCCGCCAAGTGTACCAAGGACAAAATATACACCAGAGGCTAACGTGGATGGAGTATTTAACGTTCTCCCCTTTTAAGGCCACAGTTTTAATCCCTTCAATTGCAT